TCCTCTGATGCTGATTGGCCTGCTGTGTTCATCCAGCTCTACACCTTCTATTTTATGTAGGTGAAAATTTTATTAGTGTGGATTTCAAAAATCATTTCTGCTGTAAGGTCAAATAGTTCTCAATGAAAGTTGGTACAACACTTGGTGGCTCAGTGGTTAGCACTGCTGCCTCACAGCACCATGGACCTGGATTCAATTCCAGCCCCAGGTGACACTCTGTGTGGAGTTTGCTTGTTGTCCCTGTGTCTATGTGCGTTTCCTCCAGGTGCTCTGGTTTTCTCCCACAGTCCAAAGATGTGCAGATTAGGTGGAGTGGCCATGCTAAATTGCCCATCTTATTTGAACTTGATGCTGTGAGGAGCTCCAATATGCTTCGTATTGAAGTTTTTTGGTTTGAGGACTAGAGATTTATAACAAATGGAGATAGATAAAAGTCTGGCTGGACACGAGCCAATTTGCAAGATGCTGTATAAGCTGCACCGCTTAGCTGTGGCTCAGAATTTACAAAAGTCTTTGTGACTGTCTCAGACAGTGCTGCAGTATAGCTGTGGTCCAATTTACACAGTTTTTCTTCTTGCAAAACAACACAGTGGGAGACATCTCAATTGTGTAAAAGTGTGACGTGGATAATAGGGAATTGGCAGCCTCAAGCAGGAGATTTATGCAAGTACTGTGGAAAAAAAAGCAAAATGCTATGGACGGTGGAAATCTGAAATAAAAACAGAAAGTGCTGGAGAAATTCAGTAGGTCCGGCAGCAATTGTGATGAGAGAAATACAGTTTATCTTTTTGGGTCTGGTATGACTCTTCTTCAGAATTGAAACAAATTGGAAAATGATTGTTTTAATGCTGTTGACAGGAAGGGAGGAGGAACAATAAAATTATAAAGTGCTGGCATGGCTTATCAAGGCTGACAGCATAGAATCCCTACAGTTTGGGAGCAGGCCATTTGGACCACCAAGTCCATACTAACTGGCTCAGTAGTTAGCACTGCTGCCTCACAGTGCCAGGGACCTGGGTTCAATTCCAGCCTTGGGCAACTGTCCGTGTGGAGTTTGCACGTTCTCCCCGTGTCTGCGCGGGTTTCCTCCGGGTGCTCTGGTTTCCTCCCACAGTCCAAAGATGTGCAGATTAGGTGAATTGGCCATGCTAAATTGCCCTAGATTAGGTGGGTTATAGGGGGATGAGTCTGGGTGGGATGCTCTAAGGTCCGGTGTGGACTTGTTGGGCCGAAGGGCCTGTTTCCACACTGCAGGGATTCTATTCTTAACCCTCTGAAGAACATCCCACCCAGACCCACCCCCATAACACTGCTTTACCCATGGCTAATCCACTTAGCCTACTCATCCTTTGACACTATGGACAATTTAGCAAGGCCAATCCACCTATTTTTCACATCTTTGGACTGTAGGAGGAAATCAGAGCTCTTGGAGAAAACCCGCGCAGACACAGGGTGAACATGTAAGCTCCACACGGGCAGTCAACCGAGAGTGCAATCGAATCCAGGTCCATCGCGCTATGAGGCAGCAATGCTAAACCACTGATTCACCATGCTGCAGTTAAAATGCTGTATCCTTGACAAAATCTAACATTAAGGTTAATCCTTAATCTGTAACAAATAAGTCAATTAATAGAAAATCCATCTAACATCATTGTCATAAGATGAACCATTATTCATATATAAAAATAAGTGGGTTTCAAAATAGAATAGAGTAGAATATCCTTTATTGTCACATGCACTCCAGTAAAGAAGTAGAGGTGTACAGTGAAGCGTTTTTAAAATGGCTGCCTTTAATGGCACCATCTTAGGCACAAGTACCTTGGTACAAATCTTACAGGGTAAAAAAAGAATAGTGTTGTTACAGAGTAAAACAGAAAATAGATTAGCATGAAACAGTGAAAAAGTCCAGAAGGATACTAAGTGTCCATAAGTATTTAAGTTCCAGTCTGTGCCTGTGGGCTGCAGAGCATGAGGCCATGCTGCCTCTAAGTTCCGGCCTCCATCCAGGACTTGCTCTGGGGCTAATCTGGGAATCGCCCGTTCACTCTGCCACAGGACTCTGCCTGTGCTTGCTCTGCCTTGGGACAGGGCCTGTGCTCACTCCGCCTCAGCACTCGGCCCGTGCTCGCTCCGTTCTGCTGCGGGACATGGCCCGTGCTTGCTCTGCTCATCGACTCCACTCTCCAGGTAGGGTGGGGGTTGGGGAGGGGAAGAAAATGTAAAGCTGTGAAGGGGAGAAAAAAGAAAGGAAAAGGAAAGGGACTGGTGAGCAGAGGAGCTCCGACTGGAGCGTCCTACTCTGCCGCCATCTTGACTTAACATGAAAGTAGATTAGATTAGCCAAACTTCGAAAATCTCCATTAATGTTGTTTCTGTTCTAACATTATTGAAATTAAGGACATTAGTTTCTTTCAGTACAGGGAGATCACGTAGTTGCTGTAAGTGAATGGAAAGAAAAGCTAAGTGAAATATCCTATCCTTACAAAGAATCATTGAAAAGTCCAAACCCCTTTTGCCTGTCGGTTTTGTGCTGCATCTAGTACTCATCTTTATTTAAGCTGCTCAACACAGCATCTTTTTTGTGTTCAGCATGACTCTTCTTCTGGACTGAAAACATTTTTCCCTCCACAGCTGCTGCCAAATTGCTGAGCTTCTCCAGCACTCTATGGTTTTATTAATATTTTGCTTTTATTAGGGGAGAAGAAGAAAGAAGAACAGGTAGCAAGAGTGCTCAGGGCAAAAAAAAAGCAGAAATAATGGTAGAATAGGAGAGATGGAGATGTAAAATTGGTGTGAAAAGGAGAAAATGCTCTGCTGACAGTAAAGCCAGTAGGACACAAATAAAACTCAGCCAGGGAATGTAATTGGAGTACAGAGATTGTACTCTGAAATTGAGGAACTCAATGCTGAGTCCTAGAGGCTGTAAAGTGTCTAAACAGAAAGTCCAATGTTATTCCCTCAAGCTTGCATTGAGCGTCATTGGAACATTGCAGTAGGCCAAGGGAGGAAATGTTAGCATGGGGTCAAAGGTTGTTAATTTGTTATGATCTGTCATAAACTATCATACAAAGTCAACATGCACTCAGTGAAATTCAATTAAGGAAAATGTCTTGAATATCAGACTCAAACTAAGAAAGTTTAATCTATTGCAAGAAAAAAAGAATCACAGGATTTAGTTTACAGAAATCAGCCAAAATGAAAGTGATGCATTCCATATGCACAATTAACCTTCAGAGCAATGCAAGTAGCAATTATAGATGTGGAATGTTATTCTAGCAGTTCTCTTTTACAGTGAGATTTCGGAAATGTCTGGGTTTTCTCAATTTTTTGTCAGTCCTATTTGTCTCACAGTCAATACAACTTATGACATTATGTCAGTATCCGTTAAAAAGACTTTTTTATTCTGTAATCACTATATTACAGCATGTGGTCAAATAGAGCAAAGATCTCAGACTCCATCTTAACTTGGATCACATGAAGCATTACACACTATGATGTTCTCTACTAAAATCGAATAGACTAATACTAGCCCAGACATGTATATGTTTATGAATGTAATAATTGCATACAATAGACAGTTGTAACAAATAGTCATCAATGTGACATTTTCCATGCCTAGTTTCTTCAATTATGAGGGCTAAAATAAGCATTGGTGCATCGGGTAAAATATCCTGCTGTAGGCAAAGCCAACTTCATGTCTTTTCTTTTTCTCTCTCTCTCTCTTTCTCTAATCTAACTTTTCTCTTTCCTCTTCCTACATATAACTGAACCCATCCCCCTGAATTCACTATCTTTTTGAGGTCTACTGCTATAAGTTTTCCCATCCATAAATATCACAGGTAAAGGAGCTTGCCTTTTAACTGGTTCACACAGTTCCCTGGTGCCTATATTTCACCAATACAAGCTCACATCTCTGGCATCTTGAAGGTGAAAATGTGCTGAGCTGAAGGGTGCAAGGGCAAATCTAATGGCAGATGTTGTTAGTTGCCCATTATGGCAAAATCTGGTTAACTAATTCACTTCCTTCAGATTTTTATATTTTCAATTGTTCTCAATTAATAAAAATACAACCTTTTATATTGTGATGAAAATTGTTGTCCCATTTTGTTTTGGGGATGTTGATGTTTTTCATATTTCAACTTATTGTACTTCCTATATCACATCCATACACCTTGTCTACATTGAATTTTAAATGTACTCGATGCACTAAAGAAAAGTTAATTGACCATGGACTATTCTAAATCGATTCAAATTAATTCGCTCAATTAGACTTCACTCAGAAATTGAGAAAATAAAGTGACTGCTCTAACCTCTTCCTTTAATTCAAGGCAAATTATACTCTTCTCCTGAAGAGGTAGACCATCGTAAGGAGATCTGGCTGACTAACCGGAAGACGGTTATAGCACACAATATGCTGGCAGAGCAGGGGTTATATAACTACCGACTGGGAATGAACTCTTTTGCTGACCTGGTAATTCATTGTTTACTAACTTCTTTAGAGAAGCATCTATAATGCAGCCTTTGTATCGGTGCAAAGTGGCTTCTGTTTTCAAGTGCTGTTACAGTTGCTTTACAAACTTGGAGTTGGAGCTTGATTTAGCTTCAGAGAGAGATGTGGGTGGCATACTCTCACATTTTAACACTACATTAAGTATCAAAGCAGATTATAAAAGTGTCACCGGATTTTCTTTAATGTTCTTGTTGTTTTTAAAGTTACTATCATTTCTAAGGATTTAAAATATAATAGGTGGAAGGAAAACTTGGCAATAGTGTCAGCTCTCACTTTGCTGGAGAATTCAAGTTCCAAACATAGGATATCATCTAGGCAGTGAAAGGAATACTGTGGAGACTGGGAATCTGAAACAAACACAGAGAATGCTGGAGAAACTCGGCACGTCTGACAGCATCTGTGTACAGAAAGCAGAGTTAATGTTTCTAGTCTAGTATGACTTGAGTGCTGCCAGACCTGCTGAGTTTCTGTACCATTCTCCATGTTTGTGTCATACTATCTGATTAGAACTGATGGTTATAGTGTGACAGCAGCATTAGTGGTAGTGTTGTGTTCCTGTGCACTCAGAGACTCCAGGTCATTGTGGTGATATACTCTTTTTACACGCATGGTGTAATCAGGAGCTGTGCCAATGGCAGATGCTCGATTACATTGACCAAGAATCTCTTCCAGTCTTACTGCCTGCCAGTGGCATGCGTTCCACTCAATATCAAAGTCCTTGTTGGCAAATTGTAGGGCCAATGTCCCTTTGTTTGAGATGTTTGGCACAATTGACAGGAACCACTCAAAGCAGCTGTGGATGACCAGTGCTTGACCACATGCAGGCTGGGTTTAAAAATGACACCAGCACCAACAATCTTGTGTAATCCCAGCAGTGGGCAAAATACCCATCTGTGGTGAGTGGCAGAATACAACTAGTGGGGTGCCAAAAGGTATGACGCATTGGTAATGAGTCAAGTTTGGGAAGGTAGCACAAGAAAACTCGTTTGAGTTTGTGGACAGAAACTCTCCACAATGCTCAATAAAGTTGACACTTGGCTGATTTCTGGCAAACTTCAACCCATAGAGTCCCCACTGCACCAGAAGACCTCTAGACACAGCCTTCAAGATTCTAATTAGCTAGTCAAAGAGCAATCCAATACACTGACAGTAGACTTTAGACATTCTTTTTGTTAATATATCTTTCATTGTGTTGTCCAATACGGATAACATTCTCATTTACTCATGATGAGAATGACCACAAGTCTTTATATCTCACTCATTTTAAGTAATCTGGCCAGTTTTTATTCTATGATGTTTTATTCACACATGGGACGTGTGCATTGCTGGCTGAGTCATCATTTCTTGCCCAGTTGCCTGGGAGAAGGTGGTGGTGAGTTGCCTTTTTGAACCACTGCAGTCCATGTGCTGTAGGTAGAACCATAATGACCTTAGGGAGGGAATTTCAGGATTTAGACCCAGCAACACTGAAGGAACAGTGATATTTTTCCATGCCAGGATGGTGAGTGGTTTGGAGGAGAACTTGCAGGGAGTGATGTTCCTATATATCTACTGCCTTTGTTTTTCTAGATGGAAGTGGTCATGGGTTTGGAAGCCTCTAAGGAGCTTTGGTGAATTTCTAACCCGTAAAAATTAATAGGTTTAATGATTTTTTTTGCAGGAAAACGAAGAATATAAAAAATTGGTGCTTGGCAACTGCTTGAGAAACACAAATTCTACAAAGCATACCACATTCCATTCCCTGCCCTTCAATAATGTTGGTCTTCCAGACAAGGTGGACTGGAGAGATAAAGGTTACGTCACTGCTGTGAAAAACCAAGAAGATTGTGGCTCCTGCTGGGCGTTCAGTGCAGTAAGTCTGAGTTGTGCATCTTACTTCAAGATAAGAATTGTGTTTAATCAGAATAAAACATTACATTCTGGTATGTTGAATATTAGTTAGGCAAATCTTTGACGAGATTAAAATATGTAACTTTATGATTGAACTCTGACGTTGTAGCATGAATATTGAGTGAGATTGGTAAAGTAAAATGTTCTTCACACTTTGGTGAAAGAAGGCATTAGCTCCACAGTTTGGCGTATTGAGGTTGAGGTGCCTTCAATACCTGAACAAGTATTTTTGTGCAATACAATCCATAACATGTTTAATATACTAACTTCCAGACACCTTTACTGTTTTAATGTATCTTGTGAGGAAAGAATGAATTGTTTTGTTAATTAAAGTCACCAAAGTCCCAGAGGGCTGCTCCCTCATTAGAGAGAGTTGTTTGGTGGTCATTTTAACCTAAGGGTCATCATCACAACGCAGGCAAGAGAGAGAGATTGAGAAGGAGGTACCTTCATGGTAATCTCAGCTGGTGTGGGAATTAAACTGGTGCTGTTGGTATCACTCTGCACTATAAACCTACCCAATCTCCTTAGCAATTTATAATACTTAGCTTGAAACATGTTTTTTTTAATTCTGTAGTTTTGATTGAATATGTTTAGCCTGTATGACATTGTGTGTGTGTTTTTTTTTTAACCACAGACTGGATCTTTGGAAGGACAGCACTTTAGGAAGACTGGTAACTTAGTTTCTCTGAGTGAACAGCAGCTAGTTGACTGCTCCCGTGATTATGGAAATCAAGGCTGTGATGGTGGATTTATGGATTATGCCTTTCGTTACATAATAGCCAATGAAGGAATTGACACTGAGGAATCCTATCCATACACTGCAGAGGTTAAGATAATTTTGACAAAGTATTCCATATCAAATCGCTGCTTCAATGCAAATAGGCACAGCTGCCCATACACACATAACACGATATCTTACATTTCCCTTAATCAAATGAAAGCTTAGCGGATATTAACACAAAATATGATTTGATCTTTTACCTGTATTTTTTGTTTCCGTTTCTACACAAAGACTAGATGCATTAACTGGTGCTTGACACTGAACAATCAGTTTTCTTTATTGGAATGATGTATGATTAACCACCTGAAAAATAATTGATCCTTGAACTTAAGTGAATCTTTAATGGGCTTTTAAGTCAGCACATTGGAATTATAACGACTACAATGAGCCAATCATGCTACATAGCCCAACATGTTCAAAGGATTATTCCTCCTTGAAGGTAGTGCAAAAATATGTTTTTTTCTATGAATTGCAAGAGGTTTGCTCCCCTGTCTTTTGCGTTTCGGCTGATATCCATCATAGGAACATAGGAATTGTCAAAGTCCATCAAGTTCACCTTCAACCATCCTAGTAGTCGATTATACAATGATAATGGTGATGTTGACTAATTACATCCATTAATCTCCTCCATGGTACTTATAAGAACATAACTGTTGATCTCAGCATCCCTGGATTATAAAAGGTTGTCTTTCTCCTAAACTGCTGACTATGGATGAATGAACTGTTTGCTACGACTTTCTATTTAAACAGTACATAACTATCCAGGATTTTATTCTCACATCCAGCTTCATAACTGAAAGTAAGAAGCTCTTGATCCAAGTCCCAGTCCATGACATTTTGGCTGTGAAAGGAACATTCATGATGTGGTCCAAAAGGTTGATTCTCCCAAGTGTTTCCCCATTGTTCACCAAGGGAGAATGTGTGCATTGAGTTACCATGCAAACCTTTGTTATGCTTTCTTTTTGTGACTTTTCATTTCTTTCACTTTGGAAGTTATTTTAATTTGTTCCCATGGTGTACGTGAGGCTGGAAAAGTTCCATTTATTGGCCTCTCTTGCTGCAATATTGGTACTCCTTGCAGTGTAAGTTCTCCCACAGTGGCGCTGTGGAGGCTATAATTGGGAATGCATGTACATATATGCATGTTTAATCAGAAACTACAGATATTTAGGTAAATGTGCTTTTTAATGACACAAAATGGGATGTTGGAATACAGAGCAAAATTTCAAAATTTGCCAAAGATACCAAATTTGGAGATATGGCAAATACTGAAAATGATAATTAATTTAAAGAGAACACAGGCTAGCAGAATATACACAGAAATGGCAAATCAAATTTAATACACGGAGAAATATGAGGTGATGCACTTTGGTAAAATGGATAGGGAGAAGGAATATAGGCTAAATGACATTTTAAAAAGTAGTATACAAAGTCACCTAGGAGTTCAGGTGCATAAATCTTTGAAGGTGACAGAACATATTTTAAAAAGTTGCTAACTAAACAAACAGGAATTTGAGCTTCACAAGTGAAGACACTGAGTAAAAATGCAGAGATATCACACTGAATCTTTAGAAAACTCTGGTTAGGCGCAACTTGAGTATTGTGTCTGACTGTGGACACCACACTTCTGGAAGAATGAGAGGGTGGGAAGGGGATTTTCCAGAAAGGTGCCGAGGATGGAAGAGTTTAGCGAAATAATTGGGCTGGAGGAGCTGCGATTACTGTTGGAGCAAAGGAAATTGAAAGGCGATTTGATAAAGGTGTAAAGATGCAGGTAGGGTAAGCAGAGAAAAGTTGTTCCCATTAGTAGATGTTGCAAGAACAGGGGGATACTGATTTATAGTTTGGGCAAAAGGACTATTTTTATATCGTAAGGAATGATGAAGGTGGTTAAAGTCAAGACTAATTTCAAAAGAGATGTGCACTTGAGGGAAATAAATGTGCAGGGCCATGGGGATAGTGTGGGAGAACTGTAAAAGTAAAACTGTAAAATAGTAAAATAGTAAAAAAGACTTCAGTGAGCTGGCATGGACCTTATGGACCTAATGGTCTCTTCCTGCAGCATTATGACAATGTGACTCTAAGAAAAACAATCGCATAATCATAAGTGATGTCTGCCTAAAGGGGCAAATCAAATCTAAATATTGAACTCATTCCTACCAGTATGCTTCATTTCAAAAGATCAATGCTGAAGATAGTAAATTGCATAACTAGTGAGTGGAGTTCATCTCAGTGAGTGACTATGAATAGCTGATATTAACAGACCCATTTTGTATTTTACTTTTTCGATATCAACAAATACATTACATTCTAAGATCTCTTTTCTATGTATAAAATTGCTACTAAATTCAGTCCCTGCTAATTGAAGTCACTAGCTATTTTGTAATTTAACCCTACATCCTGAAAAAGAGGAATGAGCAGGATTACATGGAGAATTAGCACCATGTAAATTTTTCATTTGGAGAGCCAGCACAGTTATAATGGGGTGAATGGCCTCCTTCTATGTTGTAACAATTCTGAGATTTAATTAACACACCTAGTCATCTTTGTATTTCGCCCAGTGCCTTACTGCGCCCCACCAAATCCGCTTAGTTTTCGAGACACTAGAAATGGCCGGTATGTCAAGTATTATGTCATAAGGAATAATGCCTACATTTTGCATTTGCACACCTAATGGAAACAACAGATGTGGCGAGACTATTTTTGAACATGAAAATTTCATTTCTAATATACTACATCAGTAATTCAGCAGTATTCAGCACAATAAGCTTTGTTACTTTTGTTCTACTTTTTCAGGATGGGCCATGCAGGTTCAATCCAGAAACTATTGGTGCTGTTTGCAATGGGTATACTGACCTACCCGAGGGAAGCGAGGCCTATTTGCAATTGGCAGTGGCATACCAAGGGCCAATCTCCGTTGCCATTGATGCAGGTCATTTATCTTTCCAGTTATATTCCTCAGGTAGGTATTTGAATGAAAAACTGGTCTTTTTGATAATTCTTTGCCAATTTATGTGGTGCAATTTTATGATTTAACACCCATGGCACAGAGTCTTGTACGAACGATTCATATGAGGAATTTGGATGCAGAAAGAGATCTACGTGTCAGATTTTTAGGCTGTTCAAAATATTTGGATAAAATTTACAATAGTCACTTCTGTTGTGCAAAACTGAATCCACACTCAATTTGATGGAGTGATGTATTTCAAAGGCGCATAAGCTAGATGACAAAAGAGCAGGAAGAGCATAGAGGAAGAAGCCATGTAAGAAATGTACTGCCATAATCATGGGTGAGCTTAATCTACATGTAGTCCACAATTTATCTTTCTTAGACTAAGAGGGAAGACAGGCGTGTTAGGTGTTGACTAATTTCCCACTCCCATTGACAAGAAAGCTCTCCATTTCACCCTCCAATCACCTTGTTAAGAGAGGACTGATGATCTTCTTGACTTATTGCAGGTTTCAACGGTGGTGTCCTGGGAAAGGCCAGCATATTCTGGCTCCTACAGCCCATTGGTCAAGCCTGTTCTTCATGGGATCCAACTGTGAGAATGTATAGGAAGAGAAGTTCAGGGGAGTCGGAGGCAAGGGCGGGAAGCTGGCTTTCAGGGGCCACTCCTTTGCACCCTCTCCATACATGCCTCTTGTAGCCCCCAGATCCATGACCCGGCAGGCAGGTTGTCTTGGTTGGCCAGTCTGGAAACCATATCTTTTTACAATTTGACAGGAAGGGAAATAATTAGGGAGGTGGCGAACAGAAGACAATAAGTGCCCATTAATTGACCAAGGATGTTACTGAGACCGGAACGTTTGAGTTATAAGGAGAGTCTGGATAGGCTGGAACTTTTTCCCCTGGAGTGTAGGAGGCTGAGGGGTGACCTTATATAGAATTAGAATTAAAAGTAGATGTCCAAAACTATAGGGTATAGGTTTAAGGTGAGAGAGAAAGATTTAAATGTAACCCGAGGGGCAACTTTTTCACACAGAGGGTGATGCGTATATGGAACGAGGAAGTGTTGGGGTGAGTACAATTACAACGTTTAAAAGACATTTGGACAGGTACATGTATAGCCAATATTTAGAAGGATATGGGCCAAACACAGGCAAATGGGGCTAGTTTAGTTTGGGAAACGGGGTCAGCATGGATGAGTTAGGCCAAAGGACTTGTTTCCATGCTGTATCACTCTATGACTGTATAACTCCATATTTTGTGTGGATCAAGAAAGTATGAAACACTTTGAATAATGCGGAATATTTGTTGAATAAGATGCCTTCCTCATTTCAGATTTTCTCTTTATCAGGTAGTTTACAAATCTTTTGTAGTCTGTTCCTGGAAAAATACTTGCAACTTCATTCTTTTTTGAATGTAGGATTGTATGATGAGCCATTGTGTAGCAGTGAAGAGCTCAATCATGGTGTTCTAGCTGTTGGGTACGGAACATTATATGGAAATGACTACTGGCTGGTTAAGAACAGGTAAAGGCATAAACTACTGTCTTGTAAACATCACACACAATCCAGGGCTCAGTTGGTTCAGGTGGCTGGATTGCAATACAGAGTGTTGCCAACAGCATGGGTTCAATTCTTGAGCTGAGATTACCATGGAGGACTCACCTCCTCAACCCCTTTCCTTGTCTGAGGTGACCAGGTTAAACCTCAAGCAGTTGCTCCTCTCAAATGGAGGAGCATTCATCTAGGACTGATGATTTTCTTTGATTATGTAATCATTAAAACTGACTTAACACTGCTGATGCCAGAATATTTTCTGGTATTGTCTCAGTTTTCATGCAATACTGGCATGTTTGCTTTCCTTTATTCTTTCATGGGATGTGGGCATTGCTGGAAAGGCTGGCATTTGTTGCTCATCACTAATTAACCTTGAACTAAGTGGCTTGCTCATCCATTTTCATGGGGCCATTAAGGGTCAATTATGCTACTTTGGATCTGAAGTCACGTGTAGGCCAGACCAGTCAGGGCAAAACAGTAGATTTTCTTCCCTGAATAACATCAGTGATCCAGATGTTATTTTCATTTCACAATTGACAATTGTTTCATGGGCACCATTGGTGAGACTAGCTTTATATTCCAAATTTACTAATTGTGGTTAAATTCCACCAAATTACATATGACAACTATTGTGTTTCATTACCAAGGAAGAAACCATCTGTATCGATTGTTTATGTTGGCAGAATAAAGTAGTTAACTTATGATTAATGGGATTTATCACCATGGTGCCATTTTCCACTCCTTTTACAATCAACTCATAACAAGAAGTCTGTTTGCTAACCACTGACTTCATGACCACTGCACAAACAAGAGGAAACCTTTCCCTTCTGAAAGTACCTAGTGATATAGTTCTGTTCAGCTGCAGGCCGTTGGAATTTATTACTTGAAACTATTTCCAAAAGATCAGCAGTTTTTCTTCTTTGTTCTTTTTCCTCTTCCATGCTCAACAATGGTTTTACTTTCCACTTTGATTGTCTATGCAGCACACTGTGTCTCTCATCAAACCTATTGTAGGGGTGCTGGTGTTGGACTGGCGTCGACAAGGTCAGAAATCACATGACAACAAGTTATAGTCCAACATGTTTATTTGAAAACACAAGCTTTCAAATAAACCTGTTGAACGATAACTTCATGTTGTGTGATTTCTGACATTGAACATATTGTGACTGACTGGGATTTCTCTGAAGCAACCATGACAAATACTGTCAAACGTTTTTGAGAAGATTTGTAGCCCGGGTTGTGGATGGAGTTGTAGACTTGCTCGCCGAGCTGGTGTGTTTGATTGCAGATATTTCGTCACCCTGCTAGGTAACATCATCAGTGCGCTTCTGATGAAGCGTTAGTGTCTGTCCTGCTTGTCATTTATATGCTTCAGTCACTTATATGCAAACCGAGGCATATATATAACAAGTGGAATAGAACACCAGCGCTTCACCAAAGGCGCACTGACGATGTTACCTAGCAGGGTTATGAAACGTCTGCCACCAAACACACCAGCTCAGCGAGCAAGTCTACAACCCCAAATACTGTCAAGAAGCTTTACGTGGTGTTCTTAGATATGATCAGATCATTATATTTCATCCCCATTTTCCTTTGTTTTGGAATGCTTATCCTGTAGGGATAAAAGGGCAGGGAAATCTTTATAAAAGCAGGAAATAATTTATCAAAGTATTTTGATCCTTGTCCTGTCATTCCACCCTCCCTTGGCATTTTTCTACCCAGGCCCTGACTTCCGAGTTGAGGACCTTCAGATCTTCAGGTCTTGAAGGCTCTGGTGGTAGAGGGCACCCTAGGATCTGTTTCAGCTGCCTCTCTGAGCTACAGCAGATAGAAGTTGTTGGTCTGTATCCAAGGTCATTGCAGCAGCCACCAGCAATCCTAAATTGTTTAAAATGCAGCCAAGGAGGCCTTATTTCACTGGTTCCTGTTAGGATGGATTCCGCTGGGTCCTTAACAAATTTGTGTGCCTTTGACTGGAGATGCCTGACCAACACGCAAGATGTTTGCTATGGGGGTTACAGTCTAGGGGCTGGACCGTATGTAAGAAGCTGCACTTCAATGTCAGACTCTGGCTTCACACCATGAATATTCACATCATAGCCCTTCTACAGAATATTCCATTCAGCTTTCTGCTACCCAGATTTTCTGGGTAGAAGGAAGTTAGAGCAGTTTTATTGCAGTGTTTTAGTATTATTTCTCAATTGGGTATTAGAGAGTGAAGTTGAACATGAATCAATACAAGGATATCACCCACAATGCCTGTAAGAGGAATTAATGAATATTTAAAGGGGAAACATATTACATGTAGGGTTGTAGTTTAATATGCTATCTCCTACTTTACATGATATTATGCACATCAACGAATGAATGTTCATACAAACCTGCACCGTGATGGGAACACACTTCATTGAGTTAGGATCCAATGCAGAGGCAGCTTTAACATGCTTGTCTGAGATTTTATTCTATTCAATTTCAGCACAAGTATTGATGCCACTAAAATCTAAAATATGTTCAATTGCCTCTGTTAAATTCCACATTCTAATAAAATCAAAACACTGCAGATGCTGGAGATCCGAACTAAAAACATAAAGTACTGGAGAAACTCAGCAGGTCTGGCAGCATCTATAGAGAGAGATAAAAACAGATTTTTAAGTCTGATATGATGCTTCATTGAAACTGGAATGTTGCTCAGTGTAATTTGAAGATATATTTTCACAAGAGCACAAGAACAGAAGAAAAAGGAGCTGGAATCTGCCATTTAATTTAAGTTTTAACATTTTGAAATATTCATATTTCATCGTTTTCTTTTTGTTAGCTGGGGTACAGATTGGGGTGTTGAAGGATATATTTACATGTCAAGGAACAAGAATAATCAATGTGGAATAGCGTCTGCTGCCAGCTTTCCTGTCATGTAAGTTGATGTAAGTTTGCTTTGGTCAATTTATTTCTAAAGGGAGAGTGGTGAATTTATGAACTGACCAGTGATGGGATGTGGTGGTTGTGGTGGGAAGGGTACAATGGGTAGAAATTGGTGGATGATCTTTAGGTTTAAAATGGGCACAATGCTGAGAGATTCAGCAGTGAATGGCTGAAATAAGTTGGTGCAGTTTTTAGATTACCGCTAAATTTATCACATCCATTTTAGGCAATGCTGCCAGATGCTCAAAGCAAGGACCTTTATTCGATTCAGTCATGGAAAGGAGCAAGTTCTAGGATTTTGACCTACAGACAACAATGAAGGAATGACTGTATTGTTCCAATTCATGGTGTATGGCTTGGAAGAGAATCTGAAGGCAGCAATGTTCTCATGCAGTTGCTTCCTTTGTTCTTCCAGCTGGAGGTGCTGGGTGTTTTCAAAGGAGCCTTGGCACATCACCGCAATGCGACCTGTAGATGGTTCACACTGCTGGCACATTGCATCAATGGTGGAGGGAATGAATTTTTAAATTGGCAGATGAGGATGATGGCAGGGAAGGCAATGGCCTAGTGATATTATCCAGAGACTCCGATAATGTTCTGGGGACCTGGGTTTGAATCCCACCACATCAGATGGTGGAATTTGAATTCAATAAATATCTGGAATTAAGAGTCTAATGGTGATCATGAATCCATTGCCGATTGTCAGGAAAAACCCATCTGGTTCACTATGTCCTTTAGGGAAGGAACTGCCATTCTTACCTGGTCTGGCCTACATGTGACTCCAGACCACAGCAATGTAGTTGATTCATAACTGCCCTCTGGGCAATTAGGGATGGGCAATAAATGCTGCATAGCCAGTGATACCTTCATCCCCTGAATGAATAAAGTACCAACCAAATAGAATTCTTTGACTTGGATATCAAACACAGTTAAAGAACACGTCTTGGAAAATGTGCTCTCTGATGAGTGGAGCAGGGGCCAGAGCCCCCCAGCCAGAACAGAAATACTCAATTCCAACAAAAATCCTCTTGTGGAGCCAGGAATAGCATCAATGCCCCTCCCTCAAACTCTGCCACTGACTCCACAAGCCATGGGATCTGAACTCCATCACCTGTAATCCCCGCAGTTCTAGGAGTTAAAGTCAGGCTGCCGCTGTTGTTGTCAAGATAAGATGATTAGCAGTTACCCTCTTCAATGCAAAAGCTGCTTACAAATACTCTTCCTTCTCCTGGTTCTAAGCCAAGGCAAGTGAATGGTAAAAAAAAATGGACAGGAAAGAAACTGAGCATTTCATTAATAATTTACTTCTCGAAACATCAATAGACAATGATTGGGACTAAGGTTACACGCCATCAGACAGTAGCTGACATCAAGAGCTGGTATACTTTTCACTTTTGGAAAACGATTCACTCCAATGTAGTTACAGGAAGCTGTACAGAATGTTTATTTTACAGAGAGAAATGATTTCCTGCTCCTTTCTGTGGGCCCATGGCAGACACATGTTTGTGGTTATGAATTTGCAACTTAATATTTGTACATTAGTACTGCAGTAAGGAAAAGAAAAGCTTTCATGAGTTTCAGACGTCCTTGCACCCTCACAAGTGATGATGTACTTTTGAATTATACACACTGTTGTAAAGTAGAAAATGTCACAATTTGTGCACAGCAAACTTCCAAAAAGATCAAGATAATTTGAATTTATCATATTAGTTCAGCATTAAACATAGGCCAGGACACTATTAACAAAGGGAAAAGGTAATGGTGCTAATTAAAGCAAGAAGGGATAAAAATAAACATGTACATTTGCTCATTGTGCCAGACCATTTTTGCCCATTTAATTTCCTGTTGCTGTTTATTTGTACCAACCTTAAACTTCTCTGCTTTTCTTCACAGATTTTGAAACCCTCAGCAATCTCAAAATGGTGCCATGCTGAACACTGAAGGATACTAACATAAAATATTACAGCATACTTTTGAACCCCAATTACTTTTGATAAATTGTATAATGCGTTAAAACCCATTGCTGGATACACTTTTTTTACTAATTTAGTTTCTCACTGGCAACGAAACCGTACTGTTTATGCATAATGATATTTGATGTACAGAACCATTATATTTTTTGTGTTTTCTTTAACAAGATTTGATTGTGTTTTGTATGTTGAAGATGTCATGCACATTTTGAAGTCCTTTATGCCATTATGCTATAGTCAGTCCATTATATTCTCCACAATATTCTGGAAAGATAACTGGTTTTGTCTGGTAATGCTGCTGTTCTATGCTACTGTTCTACATGGCAATAAATCTATCATGTTAACTTCAACATTTGCTGCTTCTCATTAGCTCTGAACCATTTGCTCACATGTGCAGCGTGTCCACAATGGCATAAAATTGAACATACAAACCCTTGAGAAGGTGGTGGTTATCCGCATGCTTAAACTGATGCAGTCTTTGGGGTGTAGGTTGATCTACAATGCTGTTAGGGAGGAATTCCAGGATTGTGACCCAGTGACACTGACAGAACAGCAAAAATGAGATATATACTTTTTTCTTTATTCATTCATGGGAAGAAGGTGTCACTAGCTAAGCAGCATTATTGCCCATCCCTAATTCCCCAGAAGGCAGTTAAGAGCCAACGACATTGCTGTGGGTCCAGAGTCACATATAGGCCAGACTAGGTAAGGATGGTAGTTTCCTTCCCTAAAGGGCATTCATGAACCCAATGGGTTTTTCCAACAATAGAAAATTATTAGACTCTTAATTCCAGATTTTTTTAAAATTTGAAGGCAACTCTCCAAGTGCCATGGCAGGATTTGAACCCAGGTGCCCAGAGCATTATCTGAGTCTCTGGATTAACTGTGCAGCAATAATATCATTAGGCCATCACCTTCCTATTTCCAAGTTAGCATAATGAGAGACTTGGAGGCAACTTTGCAGGGGGTGGTGTTCCCATATATCTGCTGCCCTTGTCCTTTGATATAGAAGTGGTTGTATATTTGAAGGTGCCCTCTAAGCAGTGTTGATGAATTTCTGTGGTGCATTTTGTAGATGGTACACACTGCTGCTATTGAGCGTCAGTGGCGGAGGGCGTGAATGTTTGTGAATGTGGTGCCAATCAAATGGGCTGTTTTGTCCTGGATGATTTCAAGCTTCTTGAGTATTATTGGAGCTGAACGCATCCAGGCAAGTGAGGAGTATTCCATCACACTCCTGACCTGTGCCTCATGAGGAGACAGGAGGTGAGTTATTCACCATGGAATTCCCAGGCTCTGACATGCTCTTGTACGGCCAGCCCACTTCAGTTTCTGTTCTATGGTAATCTCCAGATGTTAATAGTGTGAGATTCAGTGATGGTAACACTATTGAAAGTTAAGGGAAGATGGTTAGGTTTTCTCTTCTTGGAGCATAATGGCCTGGTTAGACTGTATTTGGAATATTGTGAGCAGTTTTGGGCCCTGTACCTAAGGAAGGATGTGCTGGCATTGGAGGGGATCAAGAGGAGGTTTACAAGAATGATCCCGAGGATGAAGGGCTTGTCATATGAAGAGTGGTTGAGGATTCTGGGTCTGTACTCAAGTGGAATTTAGAAGGTTGAGGGAAGATCTCATTGAAACTTACAGAATACTGAGAGGTCTAGATAGAGTTGATGTGAAGAAGATTTTTCCATTAGTAGGAGAGATTAGTACCCAAGGGCACAGCCTCAGAATGAAGAGATCATGCTATGGAACTGAGATGAGGAGAATTTGTTCAGCCAGATAGTGGTTAATCTGTGGAACCCATTGCTACTGAAGGCTGTGGAGGCCAAGTCATTGAGTGTATTTAAGACAAAGATAGATAGGTCAATGATTTGTAAGGGGAACAAAGGTTACAGAGAGAAGGCAGGAGAATGGGATTAAGAAAAATTTCAGCCATGATCAAATATCACAGCAGACTCGATGGGCCAAATGGCCTAATTCTGCTCTATATCTTATGGTCATAAAGTCTTATGGAGATGGTCATTGCGTGGCACTTGAGTGATTTATATATTACTTACCACTTGTCACCCCAAACCTGGATATTGTCCATGCTTTTCTTCCCTTGGACATTGATAGCTTCAGTATCCAAAGTGTTGCAGATGGTGCTGAACATTGTGCAATCATCAGCAAACATCCCCAACAACCTCATGATGGAGGTCATGAATTCTGGGCATTGGGCTCAGAAAAGTGGCAAGAAAAGGGGCAGGCGTTGTTAGGTGAAAGACATTGAAGGGGTAAGAGGACAGAGAGAATAGGTAGACGGTGTGATGAAGGGTGTGGGAAGGGGAATGGATGAGGGATAGGGAGAGAAGGGGGGAGGTGAAGAGGGAAGGACAGAGACAGTGGAGGAAAGGCATGAGGTAGAGTGAGAGGGGCAGGGAAGAGGAGAGAAGGAGTGAGACAGGAAGGCTTGAGAGGGTGGTAGGAGTTGAAGCAGTGAACTGGAGGGAAAGTATATGTGGGTTTTGGAGTTGGGAGGGTAGAGGTGGCAGGGGTGAGTAGTTGGGGAGGTCAGTCATTGTGGTATGGATGCAGGGGTTGGGGGATATGTGTTTTGGGGTGTTCAGCAGCTTTACTTTTAAATACATTTTATAGAAGACAGTTTTTCTAATCCAGTACCAATGAACATTACTTACTACTTTACTCCTGTGATTAAATATTGTCAGCAGAATGGGCAAGTTCAGAAGACCTAATTGGAGTTTGTGATGGCATGGTCAATGTTGCAGGAACTCATGGAGGGGCCTGGACAGATAATCTTCGCTCTCTGCTGAAGTTCGCACACACGTTCCACACATAGTGACTTCTTTGGGCCACAATGCTTAATGGAGCTGAACATCTCAATGCTTACCACTAAATCAACTAGAAGTCCAGGTCATTTCCTGCTTAAATTCTGAACTGTTGCAGCTGTAAAGGACCACATATCTTTTTGGACACTAAACTTTGGAAAATGGGAGTTAGATACTGCTATATGACTAAAAAGTGCTCTGCAGCTGGAAGACCAAGGAGTATTGTGTGGCATATAGAGCCTTTGCTATACAAGACTATGTTTATTTTGGAACAGTGAGATACAGTGGTACCAGCAGTCTTTGAATTAAGGAAAGACTACCTTGTGACAGCTTTCAGATGGGTCCAGCCAAAGATCTGTAACTGCAGCGCAGCCAGAGATATCGAGAACCCAGTAAACAAGGTCTCTGTGAGTGAAATGAGAAAATAAACGTAGACACCCTAAAGAAAAAAAATTAAACAAGAGAAGACCTAGGTCCACCTCATCAATTACTGAGTCAAGGGTCCACTACCAGTCAGCAGATAATATCAGGTCCTCATTACTAAAGTCAACTGAATTGTGAGAAATAGCTCTCCATCCTCTGGTCTGGAATTGTTTTCTGTACCCATATTTCTCCACCGTTAATATTTGTATCACATTGTTTATTTTTATTCGTGAATATATAAGAATAAAACCCCGCTGAGTCAGGGTTCAATCACATAATAGTAAATTAGCATCCTTTTCTTTGCCATTTTTAAAGAATAAGCTTGTTTACAAAAAAGATGTATTTTCCTTTTAACAATGAAACCTGGTGCGAATTATGTTCTTGTTTTATTTGCTCTTGGGACATGGGCATTGCTAGCTGGCCAGCATTTCTTGCCCATCCCTAGTTGCCCTTGAGAAGGTGGTGGTGAGCTGCCTTCTTGAACCGCTGCAGTCCACATGCTGCAGGTAGACCCACAATGCCCTTAGGGAGGGAATTCCAGGATTTTGACCCAGCGACAGCAAAAGAACTGCGATGTATTTCCAAGTCAGGATGGTGAATGGCTTGGAGGAGAACTTGCAGGTGGTGATGTTCCTATGTATCTGCTGCCCTTGTCCTTGTAGATGGAAGTGGTTGTGCGTTTGGAAGGTGCTGTCTAAGGATCTTTGGTGAATTTCTGTAGTTCATCTTATAAATATTGCACACTGCTCTAGTGAGCATCGCTTGTGGCTGTGGTGCTAATCAAGCATTTGTCCTAAACCACAGATGGTCAGGTAAATTGATCATCGTGGTAATTTAATGGGCTATTTAGACATTTATGATGGCTTGAGAAATAGTGGAGCTCCTTTATTGGTGTAATACAGTGCATTCAAAAGTACATTCATTTTTAATACAAGAATGTTATCATACAAAAACTATCAACGATCCCTTTATCTGCCTATCTTTATTTCTCCCTCTCCCTCTCTGGTGCTCTATCTCCAATTATCCACTCACTCCTTTTCCCACCCAATATGACTTTTGTCCTAGATGTTATCAGTTCTGAAGAAGGGTCACTGAACTCGAAATGTTAACTGTTTTCTTTCCACAGATGCTGCCAGACCTATTGAGTTTCTCCAGCAATTTCTGTTTTTGTTTCAGATTTCCATCAGTCCAGTTCTTTGTCTTTTTTTGATTTTTTTATATTTTTGTAGCTTTTCAAAGCCCTCAAGCCTGTTTCACTACTCTAGGAATCATACCTGTCCTAACTCCACATCATAGCGATTTCCCACAATCCTTTCATTAACAAAAGTATAGCAATCTCAATTAAAATTGACTTAACAATAATTAAATGGAACAGAATCCCTAAACCTCCAGTACATTTTGAATTTAATGTTTCCTAATCTAATTCTTGAACAACTGGCTCTATTTTAAGACTATATATCTCTAATAATCCTAGGCTCCTCAATAAGCAGAAATCTCTCCCTATCCTATCAGTTTCATGCAAACTTAGATTACTTACCCCTTAATTTTCACAAGTTACAATCATAGATTGTGTAATTCACCTTGTGATCTATTTTGCAGTAGACCTAATCTGCATGTATTCCTGCTCCCCCCCCACCCTCCCCCCCTCATTAACCTTACCCACAAGGCCAGGATTTCCTTTTGGAAGACTGGTACCCAGGACTGGTCATAGTATTCGAGGCATGATGCAAGCAGGACTTTGTAAAGCTGTTGCATAACTTCTGAACTCTGAACTGAGCATTCATTCACCTCTTTCATGTTTTAATTATCTACCTACATTGATCCCCAAGTCACATTGGACCTCCACCGTATCAGGTTTTCCACCATTTAGACAGTAGACTGTTTAACCTTCTTAAGTCCAAAGTGGATGACCTTACATTTGCTGAAATTGTAAAACCATTTTCTAGTTCTGTCCATTCCCTTAATCAATGAATATGTCTTTGTAATCTTATGGTTCCATCATCAGTGCTTGTGTCACCTATTACTGAGTCATTAGTAAGCTTGAATGTGTGGCAATCTAACCCCATCAGCTAAGTCACACTTCTGCCACTTGCAGCCTCATTCTCTCTCTGGACACCTTGATCACTTAACTCCTGCTCCACTTTCCTAATGGCTCCTTGCTCCATCAGCTCTGATTAAAAATTTCTACCTATTTCATGGTCATTAACCCTTCCTTCTCATTCCACCCGAACCACTGATGTTCAGGGATAAGCTCTGGTTATCGGTCTGTCTCAATTCGACCAGCAACTCAACAGGAAAATAATGACAAAACATTACCAAGGTGCTACCCTTGTGGATCCTTTGTTTGATTTCAGTCTATCCTGCCTCCACCTCTTAATACTATTTGAAGTCCAGGTATCAAGCTGTCTCAGCGTACTTTAGACAGAATTTTGATAGTGAAAGTCATATGTTGAAAATGACTCAGATAGGATCTAAAGGAGAATGCTGCAGATCTTGGAAGTCTGAAATAAAAGCAAAAAGTAATAGAACTACTCAGCAGCTCTGGCTGCATCTGTGGAGAGAGAAACAGAGTTCTAAGGAAGGGTCACCAGACCCAAAACATTGACTCTGAGTTTTCTACACAGATGTTGCTTGATCTGCTGAGCTTTTCCAGCAATCTCTGTTTTTGTTCCAGAGTTAACATGCAACTGCTAGTCAGCTCTGAGGTAACTTCAGGGCTGTGGCAGGGAAAGGAAGGAGGAGAGAAACAGAGGTGGAAGCAGGATATTTCCAAGAAGAAAAGGGAGGTTGGCTTGGGCAAAAAGCAGTTAATAATGGGGCATATGGGGAAAGCAATGGATCTAGAGAGTGGCAGAATCATTACCAACAGGTGCTGTCTGAACAAAAAACTGGGAATGGAAGAAATATTTGGAATCATAGATGGTGAGAATCAGAGAAATAAATGGCAGGAATTGCAGTTCTTGTGTTTGTGTGTGATGGGGATTGGGTGAGATGGACAAGTTGATTTGAGTATTGCAGAAGTAACAGCCTCTTCAGAATATTGAATGGAAATGGAGTGCAAGGTTTTGCTGGGAAAGCACAACATGATTCTTTGAATTTGAGGATAAGGGAAATCCTATCATGGTTCTGGGAGAGCAAGGGGAACGATTGAGCATAAGTGATGACCCACAGAAATTCTGGTTAAAGCAGAATATTTGTTTCTTTATTTTCCCTACACTAAGCTAAAGGGTGGCAGTGCTGGGAAATTTTCCTGATTCATTCATCTAGTATTGCATTCTGACACTTTCAGAGCAGGTATAGTATTAAATGTATTTCCAGCACTGAAACCAGTCCATTCAGCCCAACTGAGCCTTTCTGGTACTTACACTTCAATTCTTTCAACCTCTCCTCAGATAACTCCAGTGTATAAGATAGAGGCAAACTGCAAATTTCTCCATTTTCTCCTCTGACTCAGGCACAGAAGAACACTTCATTCTGTCATTGTCCATTTCCAACATCATGTGTCCCATGCCTTACCCTAGTGAGCTCAACTCTTCCATGCCCCCAGCCCCACATAATACTCCTCCCCCATCCTCCACAAGAACAAGAGATGTAACCTGTGTTTTTTAAATCTCTTTCCTTCTTACTGTTCACAATTCCAAATAGCCCTTCTGTTCCAATATTTTTCATATACCAGTGAGCTCACTAACTTGTGATATAAACTGTCTGATTTATATATATTTAATATCATTTGTTTTACGTTTGAGATTTGTGTAGCTGAAGTTAATAATTAATTTATAAGTATTTCTATAGCCATAGTGGCTTCTTTTACAACAATATGTGAGACTTCCTTTGACAGCATTAATTGTTTTTTGTTTATCTTATAATGTTTTGTAATTTTAGAGTTAGGTTTATTGTCACGTGCACTCAAGTACAGAAGTACAGTGAAAAGCTACATTGTCACCACTCACGGCTCCATCTTAAGGACAAAGTACTGAGGTACAAATCTTAGATATAGAGAAATAAAGAAGAAAAAGCTACATTACCTTACAGTGGCTCATGGTATAAGTTAAAAAATAAGAAATAAGTTAAAAGGCTAAACATTACAGTCAGATAAACAGATTACAGATAAACATTACATTGCAGTAGATCAGCGCAGGGGGCTTCCACACATGGTCTGACTGGCCTCAAGCTGCTGACTGCCCACATTGGACCCCAGTCCAATTACTGTCTCAGCTCCACTCCATGCCTCCAGCTCGCTCCGCTCCGGCCCCCAGCAACTCCGGTCCACTCTGGGCATCCAACCTGCTCCACTCCGGCCCTCAACTGCTCCACTCTGCTGCTGCCCTCTGCCACTCCAAGGTAAGGTTTCTACTTATTAAAAAAAAACTTTAAAATCTTAGAAAAAGATGGAGGAATAGAAAGAAAAAGCAGACGGATGGATGAGCCCCAGGCTGAGGAGATCGAACACTGACTACTCCACCACCGCCATTTTGGATAGGGTTTAGCGACTTGGATCATCATGCTTTAAGGTTTGCTAGAATCTTTTAGACTGAGGGTTTTTTAAAAAATTTTAGGGGAAATACCTGTGGCTTAGAGGAAGCTACTTCTTTCAGTTTTATTTGTTTTGGCTGTGGTTCTGTGAAGCCTTTGGGCAGAGATGGTTACATAGAACAGTGCTTCTTAAAAGGTGAGAATATTAAAACTAGACTTCCTTTAAGTAGGGAGTTATTGATCGTCCCAAGTCAGATGTGTTGGAATAAAACCCTGAACAGGTTCCTTGAAGCTGAATGATTAAGTTCAAATGTATGATAGTTCCACAAAGAAGACCATGGAAGGACAACAGATTTTCTTCCTGAAAGGACTTTGGTGAACCAGATAGGTTTTTAATGACAATCGACAGAGATTGTCTTTAGGCTAGCTTTTTGATTCTAGACTTTTATTAAATCCAAACTTCATCATCTGCCATGTTGGGATTGAAACTGAACCCCACAGAACATTAGCCTGGGGCTCTGCATTACTAATCCACGCACTGGAAGCTCCAAGAAATGACAATGTGACAATTATAATGATGCTATCACTTTAAGAAGTTATTTTGTCATAGTTTTTATTTGAAGAGAGGTTCTGAGGTACCCAGGTACCTGAGATTGAGGTACCCAGCTGAATCTAAGAAAGTAAACAATTTGAGAGTCCTCGGAGTTTTTTAAAAGTTGGAACAATGGAAGCAGCCTGGGTGTGGCCAGATCTCTCACATCCAGATTTCTACTTTTTTTTTTTAGTTTTTAGGTTTAATTTTAGGCAGAAGCCTTTGGGGTCTCAAAAGATTTGGAAGCTTCAGTGAATGTCTCCTCACTGCTACTCTTTCTGAATCTTCTCTTGATGTTTTTTCCTCCTAGATTGGAGAACTGCATGAGAGAATCTCTGTCTGAATTTGCCTCTTTGCCAAGGGGTGTGTTTATGGGATGTTACTACACTGGAACAGTTAATTAGTAATAGTACTGAATCTATTACTTGGTTAAGTTTTCCAATAGTTAAGTTATTCTAAATTTCTCTTTCTTTTGTTTGTATTTTAACTATAGTGTTTAATTAAATTGTGTTTTGCTTAATGTCGAGTACTTTTACCAGTAGCATTGCATCTGGAACACAGCACTTCACAGCTACCTTTAAAATAAGAAAAAGTTAGGGTCAAGGCTACCTTCTTAAAATATTTGGAGGGGATCTAGTCTGGTCTGTAACACAATGGTGAGATAATCTGATTATAGCGATACAGATCGAGGGATAAGTAGTGGCCAGGATACCAAAATGAACTAATTTACTCTTCTTTCAGATCGGGATCTTTCACATTGACTTTCAAAAATTCATTAACGGGATGAGGGCATCACTGGTTAAACCAGCATTTATTGCCCATCCCTAATTGCCCAGAGGGCAGCTAAGAGTCAACCATATTGTGGGTCTGGGGTCACATGTAGGCCAGACAGGTAATGATGGCAGTTTCCTTCCCTAAAGGACATTAGTGAACCAGCTGAGTTTTTATGAAATTGAGATTAGTTTCAAAGTCATCATTAGAGTCTTAATTCCAGATTTGTACTGAATTCAAACTTCACAGTTTGGAAACGCAGGTCCCCAGAACATTATCTGGGTCTCTAGATCAATAGTCTAGCAATAATACCACTTGGCTATTGCCTTCCCACAAAAAAAACCTTGCCTCAGATTAACATCACATCCAAAACAAATGGCACCTCCATCAATACAGCCCTTCCTTGCACTGCAGTGACAGACTGGATGCTGTGCTAAACTCTCCACAGTGGGTCTTCATCTCACAGCTTTAACCTCCACATACACATATACCCAGCAGGTCTCTGGTTTGGATAGATCGAGTAAGTGTGCACACAAAAAACTTGCCAAGATTTTTGAACAGCCTGCATAAACACATTTAAAAATATTTTGTGCCAAGTGTCAAATTTCTACACAGTTGGCAATCCACACTAAAGAAAAGAATTTTAAGATTCGTTGTGTCAACTAAATGATTTATTGCTTGGGAAAGGTGAAGTACAGCTATGGGAATTTTGCTAGCAATATACGGATGAATAAAATTATGGTAGCTCCTAGCAGTGCAAAGAGTGCAACAACTATACAGCTAATTAAACCTACAGTCACTACTAGCTCTTCCGTATCAACAGTGTCATTTACATGATGCTTATGGGCACATAAGCACCTACAACCCATTGCTAGAACACTGATGACAAGCACCAAGTGAACTCCCAGGAGTAGAAAGACATCGTGCTCTAGATGGTTTTGTAGGTGGTATTGTACTGACTCCTGTGCTGGTTGTTCTTTGTGAATCTCTGTAAAACAAAACAAAACAAAAAGTAGGTAATATTTTCAAACAAACCCTCCAATAATAAAAAGGTAACATCATCATAGTGTTACCAGAACATAGGCTGCTCTCTCATTAGAGAGAGATGACTGGTGTATGTTTAACCTGAGAATCACCACACTCCGGGCATGGGGACAGGTTCAGAAGGAAAATTCTTCATGGTAACTGAAAGAACTGAGGATGCTGTAAATCAGAAAGAAAACCAGAAATTGCCGGAAAAGCATAGCAGGTCTAGCAGCGTCTGTGGAGAGAAATCAGAGTTAATGTTTTGGGTCCGGTTCTGAGGAAGGGTCACTGGGCCCAAAATGTTAACTTTGATTTCTCTCCACAGATGCTGCCAGATCTGCTGAGCTTTTCCAGCAATTTCTGGTTTTGTTCTTCATGGTAACCTCAGCCAGTGTGGGAATTGAATCAATGCTGATGATGTCAACCTACAACAACAGAATGTGAAGTATTTTGCGTAATAAATCTGCAAATCCAAGTTTGTTGTATGCAGGTGATGTAGCTCTCTATATTTAGGGGAGGGCTTAGTTTGAATGACTTTAGGTACAAAGAATTACCAAACGTTGGAAGAATTGCTGACCGCCTATTGTAAGATGGACAAGCAAACAAAGCAAATATTTTGCTTATAACAAAATTCTACAGAAAGCAATGATATTAATGCCTACTCTTTTCATGCCAAAGAAAGCACATGCAATGTGCCTTAATGACTACCACCCAGTGGCTCTGACCTCAATAATCATGAAGTGCTTTGAAAGGCTGGCCATGGCCCACATCAACTCCAGTCTCCCAGCATGCCTCGATCCCCTGCAATTTGCCTACCGACGTAACAGATCCACAGAGGATGTCATAACCCTAGTCCTGCACTCATCCCTGGAACATCTGGACAACAAGGACACCTACGTCAGACTCCCACTTATTGACTAAAGCTCCACCTTCAACACCATTATCCCCTCCAGTTTGATGTCAAAACTGCATGACCTTGGTCTCTTCTCTAGCCTCTGCAACTGGATCTTCAGCTTTCTGATGCACATATCGCATTCAGTGAGGATAGGTAACTGCACCCCCTCGACAATAACACTCAACACTGGAGGTCCCAGGGATGAGTCCTCAGCCCGCTACTGTACTCCCTGTATATCTATGACTGCATTGCCAAATTCCAAACAAACGCCATCTACAAGTTTGCTGACGACACCACCGTAGTGGGATGGATATCTAACAATAGGGAGATAGAGGGCTTGGTGACGTGGTGTGAAGAAAACAATCTGTCTCTCAACTTCGGCAAAGCTAAAGAACTGATCATTGACTTCAGAAAGACAGGAGGAGAACATGTCCTGCATACATTAACGGAACTGAGGTTGCGAGGGTGAACAGCATCAAGTTTCTCAGAGTGACGACAACTGACATTCTGTCCTGGACTTCCCACATAGATGCGGCAGTCAAGAATGCACAACGCCTCTTCTTCCTCAGGTGGCTCAGGAAATTTGGCAGGTCCATAAGGTCCCTCACCAACTTCTACAGATGCATCATAGAAAGCATAACTGTCCGGGTGCATAACGGCCTGGTATGGCAACTGCTCTGCCCAGGACCATAAGAAACTACAGAAGACACAGCCCAGACCATCAAGGAAGCCAACCTTCCATCCATGTACTCCAGTTACACAGCTCGCTGCCGCAGAAAGGCAGCCAACATCAAAGACCCATCGCACTCTGGTAATGACCTCCTGCAACCTCTTCTGTCAGGCAGAAGATACAGAAGCCTGAACACACACAGGAGCAGGTTCAGGAACGGTTTCTTTCTGGCCATTATCAGACTAACGAATGGACTCCCAAGCCTCAAATAACACTGATCTTGCTAATGTTGATCTCACCTAGCACACGCCCTGTGCAATGTAACCTGTATGCCTCTGTCTAAGTCTTTTTGATCTGTACATTCTTGCTTACTATGATCTGCCTGCATGCTCGCAAACAAAGCTTTTCACTGCATTTCAGTACATGGACAATAAATCAATCAATCAATAAATGGTGTTGATTGAGGGGGCTGGTTAATTGGGAGACCGTCCTTTGCTGCTTTAGTTCAAGCAAACATTTCATGTGCTGTGTGACTGCACAGTTATGCGTTGAAAAGCAAAATGTTCTACCACATTGAAAACAAAGGCTGAATCCAGATTGAATGTACAAAGAAAATGAACTTCTCCGTGTTGAGCTTTCTATACAAAATGTTTTGAATGTTTCTTGACCATAGCATCATTTCAATTCTAGCAGCATCTTTACATCAGTAGGGAGGTAATGCTTAAAATTCAGAGTATTAGTGAGATACCTCTGGAGTACTGTATACAGTGCTGTTCAATTTCTTTAAGAAAGAATGTACAGTCAGGTGATATTGAACATACTGGGGCTCTTATCTCTGGGAAAAAGAATAGCAAGAGGAGATCCAAGAATGGGAATCTCTCAGTTACATGGAGTGGTTGAAGAGGAAAAGATGGATTCCTGGGAATGGAGGCTTCGTGAGGAAGAAGATAACAGAAGGATAGAGGGAGTATGATGGCAACAAATAATGAAATGGCAGTATTGAGTAACTGGACCAAACAATTGGTTTTTGTAGTCCATTTCCTGTTAAACCTGTTTGACAGCAACACTGTGGTGAGGTAGAAGCCACAATAATCTTCTTGAGTATAAATTTCAATCAGAATGCTGAATGTGGGGTGTTCATTATTTTAGTACATTCAATCTGGAATCAGCCTTTGTTTTTAAAACAATGGAACAGTTTTCTAATTGACTGCTCAGTTGCAGGATTTTTAATGCTTTCTTGAATAAAAGGAAATGGTTCAGACAAGGTATATCACACTTACACCTGGACTGGGAGGGTTGTTTCATGAGGAAAGGTTGGATAGGCTGGGCTTGTACTCACTGATGTAAGAGGAGACTTGACTGAAGCCTATAAGATCATTTGAGGTCTTGAGAGAGGGGAAGGTGGAGAGGATGTTTCCTCTTGTGGAAAAATCTAGAATTAGAAGTCACTGTTTAAGAATAAGGGATTGTCCATTTATACAGAGTTGAGGTGAATTCTTTTTATGTCACCGAGGGATATAAGTCTTCAGAAACTCTTCTCCCAAAAAGACAGTGGAAGCAGAGTCCTTGAGTATTTCTAAGCCAGACATACATGGTGTCTTATAGGCAAAGTAGGTGGTTAACAGATGGCAGTGTGGGTTTTGAGGTTACAATCACATCAGTCATGGTCTTATTAAGTGGTGGAGCAGGTTCAAGAGGCTGAATGGCCTACTCCTGCTGCTTGTTCCTATGTATTCCTGAATATATTTTTCTGCATTTTTCTAATACTTCAGTATTTGGTTTGTAGAAAGCAGTCAGGAGCTATCAGTATGCAGATCCATGGGCTCAAAATTCAATTTCACCTTTCTGCTTTGTACTTTCTTCAAAAATAATAAACCACTAGGCAAGGGAGTGGGTGATCATAAACTCAGGTCTTATTTGAGTTCTTATAAAACAATTTTATGTTAATTAACAGATTTTGCAATCGTGCCCATGTTTGAACTGAACAAAATGACTTTTCTTTTCCATTCCTGGTAAGCTTGTTTTAAAGTTAATATTTAAAATGAAAATGATCTAAAAGTTAAAGTTCTAAATTGGAGGAAGGCCAATTTTGACTGTATTAGGCAAGAACTTTCAAAAGTTGACTGGCAGAGGCTGTTCGCAGGTAAAAGGGATGGTTGGGAATTGGAGGCCTTTAAAAATGAGATAATGAGAGTCCAGTGACAGTATGCTCCTGCCAGTGTGAAGGGCAAGACCGGTAGATGTAGGGAATGCTGGATGATTAGAGGCATTGAGGCTGTGGTCAAGAAAAAGAAGGAGGCATATGTCAGGTATAGAGAGGCTGGGATCAAGAAAATCCCTAGGTGGAGTATAAGGGCAGCAGGTATATACTTAATAGGAAAATCAAGAGGGCAAAAAGGGGACATGAAACAGCTTTGGCAATAGGATTAAGGAGAATCCAAAGAGATTCTATAAGTACACTAAGGGCAAAATAGGAACTATGGAAAGGAAAGGGCTCCTTAAAGATCAACAAGGCTGTCTATGTGTGGAACTACAGGAGATGGGTGAGATACTAAATAAATATTTTGTGTCAGTATTTACTGTGGAGAAGGACACGGAAGGTAAGGAACTTGGGGATATAAGTTGTGATGTCTTGAAAATGTCCATAATACAGAAGAGGAGGTGCTGAAGGCTTAAAAACACATAAAAGTGGATAAATCCCAGGGATCTGATCAGATGTATTTCAGAACTTTCTGGGAAGCTAGGGAAGTGATTGCTGGGCCCCTTGCTGAGATATTTGTATCATTGATAGCCACAAGTGAGGTGCCAAACAACTGGAAGGTGGGTAACGTGGTGCCATTATTAAAGAAAGCTGGTCAGGAAAAGCCAGGGAACTACAAACTGTTGAGCCTTAACATCAGTGGTGGGTTAGTTGTTGGAGAGGATTCTGAGGGACAAGTTCAGAAAAGATTTACAAGGATGTTGCCGGGATTGGAGGGTTTGAGCTACAGGGAGAGGGTGAATAAGCTGGGGCTTTTTTCCCTGGAGTGTCAGGGACTGAGGGGTGACTTTATAGAGGTTTATAAAATCATGAGGGGCATGGATAGGGTAAACAGCCAAGGTCTTTTCATGGGTGGGGGAGTCCAAAACTAGGTTTAAGGGAAAGATTTAAAAGGGACCTAAGGGGCAGCTATTTCATGCAGAGGTTTGTGTGTGTGTGGAATGAGCTGCCAGAGGAAGTAGCAGAGGCTGGTATAATGACATTTACAAGGCATCTGGATGGGTATATGAAAAGGAAGGGTTTAGATGGATGTGAGCCAAATGCTGGCAAATAGGACTAGATCAGCTTAGGATATCTGGTTGGAGTGGATGAGTTGAACTGAAGGGTCTGTTTCCTTGCTGTATAACTCTATGACTCCATTTACTTGAAGGAAAATCCTAACCTGCTCTTCAGGTCTAATAGTATTTGTGGTGAAATTCTTTACTCAACCATCTCCTACTTCATTCTCTGGCTTGGGTTCTGAGAACATTCACAACTTTATTTTCCTCTCCAAACCACTGATTAGAAAACATCTATGTTGCTGTTGGTAATCAAACTGTTCTGAGATATTCCTATAGAGAGCTACGGAGATAGGGTTGGGGAATGGAACAAATTGGGTAGCCTTTTTGGGAGCAGGTGTAGACACAATGGGCTGAATGCTCTCGTTTTGTCCTGTAAAATTCTATGTTATCACACACCTCTAGAGCAGATGGAACTTGAACACAAGCCTCATAGCTCAGAGGTAGGGACACTACCACTGTGCCACAATACAAATGTACAGGAAATCAGCTGATGATAAGAGTATGCTTGCACTCATTATATCCACTTGTGAAACAACTTAACCCAGTGCATCTATGACAAATATATTCACATTTGCTCAGATCTGCGATCATGATCTGACAATGGCAGCCAGAGTCTCCAAGTCAATGTGGATGTTTGTGTCTAAATTACCTTCTTCCATTGTTGTGATATTTCCTTCTTCTACAGAAGTATCATTTTGTTCTCCCAAACTGATGACTTCACTGACCTAAAACACAAAAATATCTGCATTTATTACAAATCATCCATTTTCCAAAGAGATGATAGGGTGGAAGGTTTATAAATTTGTGCTAGTGTTGCAAAACCAATATAATGGGGATACGTTAAGAGTTAGTGCCAGCAATGAGTGAGTTTTCGATTTTGATCTCACAACTTTACAAGACAGAATATGATGTTGAGCGTAATACCTGAATGCACATGTATGCTTCCACCATACAGAACTCTGTAAAGGGAGTGATAAATTTGTGGAATCTACTCTAGTATATCTTACCCTCTCAAAAATACAAAGTCAATAATTTCCATTAGTCATTTGTTGTCCAGCTCCTGCTTAAATAAGTTGGACAACTCCAACCAGAATGTTAGGAATGAATTTGGCCAGGAATCCTACAAAACCAAAGTGGTCAAATCACTATGAACACAAGCCAGTACTGATGCAAAACAGTTCCAACTTTATTAGGAAACAAGTCATAATAGCTTTAACTACAAAATAGTCCTATCTCTAATCCTACTTGGCCCCTTAAGCTCACAATACTTCCTGAGCATCTTGTAGATTTGTGCAGCCGCTCTCTATTTCTTTGTCTCTGTGGACAGTGAAGCTGCTTTCTCTCTTCCTCGCTCTCTGCCTTAAGAGTCAGCGGGTCACTGTCTTTTGCCATGCTGGTCTCCTGAAAAGGTCCAAGAGGGTCCAAGAGAGAATGGTCCGCAGGTGAACCCTGTTTCATACATTTTGGATGGTCTTTTGGAACTTTCTCTAGTTCTGACCAATCAGGGAGACTCACTTAATAGTTTGAAGCATTGGCAATTATTTGACTGGCTTAATACTGTTTGTTTCTTTGTGTAGCAGGTGTCTTTCTGTCTCCTTTGTTTGCTGGATAATTTGTTGGGGATATGTCTGTCCAGGATAACTTTGCCTTTCACATTATGCTAACATTTAAGGTTTTAGGAAAGATCTGTAGCTCGGGTTGTGGGTGAGGTTGTTGACTTGCTCGCTGAATTGGCTTGTTTTTGTTCAGACGTTTTGTCACCGTGGTAGTAACATCATCAGTGAGGCCTCCAATGAAGTGTTGTTCTACTCTGCTTGGAATTCATACTGTCCAGTCTGTTATGGTGAGTAGTGTCATTTCCGGTTTTGATCTGTATGGGTTTGTGTATGGGGTCCAATTCTGTATGTTTGTTGATTGCATTATGGGTTGAGAACCATACCTCTAGAAATTCCTGTGTGTGTCTATGTTTGGCTTGGGCTACTACAGTTACCAGTTAAACTGATGGCCTTCAGTGTCCGAGTGTACTGATATTAAGGAGAGTTTGTTGTGCCGTTTTGCTGCGAGCTATTACCTAGCATGGACACGACACGTCTTAACAAAAACAAGCCAGCTCAGCGAGCAAGTCAACAACCTCATTAGGCTAATGTTATTAGCACCTGGCTACTGTGTTTACACTGTGTCTGGTGTATAGGTTTTGTGACTGCAGAGTTTTACTTGGCCAATATACCCAGCATCCCTTGCTGTTCGGCCAAGTTAGCAATCTGTGCCGGCTGCTAAAAACCCACTCAATAGTTCCACAATCTTCATTTTAGTAGGAAGCACACTGCATTTGTGCTCCAATGCCTTATATTAGAAAAAAGAATCTGGTGCAGAGGAGATTCACCTGGATGTTGCCTTTGTTAGAGCATTTTAATGAAGAAGTAAGGCTTGGGTTGTTTTCTTTAGAGCAGTGAAGGCTGACGGGTGACCTGATAGAGGTGTATAAAATTATGAGGGGTTTGTACAGGGTAGATAGAAAGCAGCTACTCCCTTATTTGAAGGGTCAATTATAAGGGTGGCATAACTTTAGGGTGAAGGGTCAGAGGTTTAAAGGGGATTTGAGGAAAGGCAATTTCACCCTGAGGGTGTTGGAATCTGGAATGTACTGCCTAGGAGGATAGCAGAGGTGGAGAACTTCACAAACCTTTACAAAGTATGTGGAAGTGTACTTATCTGAAATGTCTTAAAATTGAAGGTATGGGCTAAGTGCTGGAAAGTGAAATTAAAGCAGACTCAGTGGGATGAAACGCCCCTTTAGTGTTGTATAAATCCATGGAGGTGGGTGAAGATCATTGTTCCCCATTAAACAAATTCTAGTTTCAGTTTCCAGGAAGCAAGGTCAAGCTATTGCCGAAGGGAAGAAAATGCCAATGTGCCCTGTGCCACACTGTTTGACATCTGTTCCACTCATTCACCACCTTCTACATAAAGCAAGCTAACCACCCTCTTCAGAGCTTAAGGTTTTGTCCTCTTGTGCAATCTGCAACGATATGAAACACACTGGCATGATATTCCCAGACCTGGCTGAAAATCCATGGGATGGAATACTTGTGTGTTCACTGCTGGAAGGAAAAGCAGCAAGCAACTTGCACACTGCAAGGTCTGACAAACAGCCATGATGAGACATTCAGTTTTAATGACGTTCATCTAGGGAAGGGATTGACTGTATACTGCAGTGTCTACATTCTGTTCCTCTCTGAAGAGTGCCATGCAATCTTTTGCATCAATCTGAGAGTTTTAAGCAGGGCTAGAAGTTAACATCACATCACAACTGTGCAGCACCCTTCACCAATGCACCGAAATGTTGCTGCTGGGTATTCTACACTCAACGGTGACCTTTTCTTCAGCTTCTCTGCCAAAGGCAGCTCTGGCCCACAGCACCGTGATCACCAATGCAGATTGAGGCAGGTCACTAATCCAACCCAGCAGGAACAGGGATCAAATCCTGTTCTGTGTACAAATCTAATCCACATCATGCATCTAGCAAACTGAGCCATCTGTTCCTGTCCCCCATCCCATGTGCCACTCCCCACCCCACCACCACCACCTAGGAATCGGAGTTGCTGTGGCAACATGCACTTCTGATGGGAGCTATGGATAGTAGGGTAAAGGTCCAACTTCTTTCCAATATGTGGCTGACCCAGAATCTATTTCAGTCTTACTGCCTGCCATTAGTGTTGGGTTGGAAGGTTCTGCAGGTTGATATTAACCTGTTTGGCTACATTATGATTGCACCTTCATTGGCCGACAGTACCTAGAGTGGGACTTGAAGTAACAGTGAATACACCTCAAAAATACTGAATTTGCTCTAAAGTACCTTGGGGCATGCTGAGTTTGTGAAAGCAGCTATATAAATGCAAATTTTTTTCTTTATTATGCTCTTAAATCACTTGATTAGGACATGAGCTCAACACCAGCGATGTAGGAACATCACCACAGAGCCAAAACAACTGGAGGAGAAACTATATAATAAGGCAGACAGATTAGCAACTCAAATGGCCCTTTTAATGTTACGTTGAATGAATATAATTAGTGCGTTCAGAAAAACAGCAGTAGGTCATTTAGAACCTTAAACTTGTTCTACCTGTAATGCAATTCATTAATTGCTCACCAGGAATGAAAATTAGAATGAGACTACTGCTGATGCTAGGTAAATTTACCTTAATGTAATCTAATAATTGGAACAGTGTTTCAGAGGCCAATTATAGTATCCTAGTTGGTGCACGGATGGAGATGAATAAAGATTAGCATAGATCATGTATTTTTAACTAGGATGCAGTGACAAGCGTTCATATATGAGACCACTTTCATCTGCCTGTCTCAATTTCACACTAAGATGTCTATAATTGTCAATTCAGTCATTGCAGGAGTTAGTTACATCCCTAGCTTTAATTCTGTACAGTTTTAGGATTCTACTGGAGTTTATCAGAACAACTCAACTGATCCACCCTTCAATCTCACTTCCAGCTCGACACCGCTCACTACACATAGAACATAGAACACTACAGCACAGTACAGGCCCTTCGGCCCACGATGTTGTGCCGACCTATTATCCTTCTAAGATCAAACTACCCTGCATACCCTACATTTTACTATCCTCCATGTGCCTATCCAAGAGTCGCTTAAAAGTCTCTAAAGTATCTGACCCCGCTACCACTGCCGGCAGCGCATTCCACACACCCACCACTCTGTGTAAAAAAAACCTACCTCTGACATCTCCCCTATACCTTCCTCCAATCACCTTAAAATTATGCCCCCTCGTAATAGCCATTTCCACCCTGGGAAAAAGACTCTGACTATCCACTCTATTTATGCCTCTCATCATCTTGTACACTCTCTCTCAATCTATCACCAAAATTGCAGTATTAGTGCAGGATGGCAACAGACATGGTGTAGAATTCTCTTCGTATATAAACTGGCTTGTAAACTGAAAAATCACGAAGTTACACCAGGAAATTTTAGACAGTACTGATCACAGATTAAGCATTAATATTCACATTGTGAAAATTCAGGTATAACTTTACCGATTGAAAAGCTGGAAGATAATATAAAGCCCAGGAACAAAAACTATTGGATGCCACTTCAGCAAAACAGCCCAAGAGCTCTGAGTAGCACTTATTGAAACCAACACAATCTATTTCACTCATCCTCGAAGTGAATTAAAATGTATTCAATCAAGGGTACTTCAGTTTCATCAGTTGGACAATGACACAGAGTGTGATTGTCAGAGTGTGAAATTTGTGCTGTTTGGTTTCAAATACATATACAGCATGTAAACAAAAGCAATACTCCCAAATATGCATCTACTGACCTTCAAGAAGATCAATTATTTTTCTTCCACTTGAGACTTCGAGCAGAATCATAACAGGTCTCTGTGCCCCCAATGCTGTCCCTGCCTAAAAGGTCTGCCTGGGAGGAACAGCTACCCTGGAGACATTTAATAGTCATTTGGTTGGAGACAGGATTTCCAGCATTCATAGGCAGGAAGTGCCACGTTAGAAAGCTGACACAGTCAGAGGCTAGCATCTCCCTGTTGTACCAGTAACAGTACCAATACTACTAGTACTGCACTCAGGTACCACAGAGTTGAGTTGCCATAGATCAAACCAGAGCAAGTATCTGGGGGTTGGCAAAGTTGGCAGGGTCTTGGTTTGAGAGATCCACGGGGTAGGGTAGCAGGGATGGG